AGAATCTGGCAAGCACCACACTGAAAGGTCAGCAGGCGAGTTTTCTTTAAACTCAAGAAAGGTTCAGTTCTAACCACTAGCTAAGCACTACACCCCGTCTTCCCCACACACCTAGCTTTATTCCTGCCCTGCCCTTGAGAGCTCAGATGGAGAAATACAGCCAATCCTTCTTAAGGTGGTAAATTCCAGGTCCTCCAAAGTCATGAAATTTTAAAGCTGCTTGTTTCTAATTGGGGTTTAAATTAAGTGAAAGAGAACAGTGTGTTTTATGGCATTCTTTCAACACCACTAAGTGCAATCCATCGGTTAAACATTAATTCTTTTCTAGAGAATTAGAAACCCTTGGTTATGCAATCTTGGTCACATGCACATTTTGGTTAATGCTTCACTTTAGTTATGCTGAGACCTTTTAAGTGTGATTCTTTTAACACTTCACCTTGACTTTGTATCTTATTTTCTGTTTTTGCAACGATTGTTGGTGCTGCATGTCACTGTTAGATACTATATTTAAAATTTGTAATTATATTTCAAACATAAAAAATATATAGATATAATAGGTGCTTGTGTACATATCACACAAATTTAACAACTGTTAACATTGTGTCATATTTAATACAATTTTTAAAAAGAATGATTTCATTAAAGTTCTGTCCACTTTCCTTGGATTATCTGTGCCTTTTAATACACCTTTTAGGGGCCACTCAGGTGCAGACACGTTGAAGATGGCCCTTTTGGGTAAAATCATAGGAAATGATGAGCCTGAAGTGAGTGAAATATAAAGTACACATACGGCACATTTTGAAGATTAATTTAAAATTGTGCAATGAGATGTTTTTGAAATCAGCTTTAAGACTGGACCATCACTTTAATGGGGCCACTGTCTTCCTCAGCTTTCAGATAGCTCACTCGCACAACCGCGCAGCCATAGCCTCTTTTCGCATGGGTGGATGAAATCAGCAACCTCCGGACCCGCGGAGAAAGTGTTGCACTGAACTGCTCCTAAAGACCGGGGGCTACTTCGCCTTCATGACTCAGGCCAAATTCCCGCCCCGCTTGGCGCCGCCTTTCTGGACTCCCCGGCAGACTCCGCGTGACCAGCAGTGGCGAAGTGGAGAGGGTTTGCAGGGCTTTGTAGCTGAGAGACTGGTTCTGAATTCTAATCTTGGGTCACGCACTGTAGGATCCCAGGCACCTCATTCAGCTTGTGTAGCTTCAATTTCCTCATCTGAAGTTTCGGAAATAGTGATACTCATTTCACTGGCTTGTGAGGATTCAATGAGACACTGCGTGGGGACCCCTTAGTCTGAAGCTTGAATTCATCACTGGTGTTAATGAAATTATTTTGTCCTTTTAATTATTTTTCCTTGTCCTTAAGAGTTCTAGTTTCAGCTGAGTGTGGCCATTTTTTTTAACATAAAAAAAATTTAATTTTTATTCCTTACTGGTACTGTATTGATTTATACTCATCATGTTTTATTTCCAATATAATAGCTTTTCTTTAGTTTTTGTCTAACACCCTGCATCTCACATTTTCTTTTCTTAGGTAGCAAGAACAGAAAAATGGTAGAATTTTAACCCAAGCATATTCTGAAGTCCAGCATTTTCAGCCATAAACCTCTCCGTTGATCCGGCGCTTGAGTTGCCGCTGGGCAGTGCTGGCTTTCACAGTTGTCTGGGTCGGTTATTAGAGAACAATACATTTAACCTCAGGTCACTCTGTGGGGTAAATTTCAGTAAGAAACACCCTCAGAGAAGTAAGAGGAGGGGCACACTAAGATTTTTCAGTCCCCACTAGGTTCACCCTCCGAGGAACTTTCTCTTGGCAAGGGCTTCTCCTGCCGCCCCGCTGTTTGGCCCTGCTTGGATGAGTCCAGCACAGACAGAGCCCTGCATAACAGAACCATGAAAAGGAAAACACCTAAAAGAAGAACAGTTCAAACACCGCAACATCATAACATTTGTATTAGGGGTGCCGTTCCTCATTGCTCATAGTAGTTTATGATGGATCTAATACATTTGGAACGTGTAACTAAGCTCCTGTCTGTGATCACGGCCTTTTTCACAGTCCACATTCCTGTCTGTCTGCTGGGGATAGAACTGGAGGAGGGAATTAATTGGGATTCTTTGAGTAGGAATTTCGAGTTCTTAGGAAAGCAATGTGAAGCAAAAATGAAGATTCTGGATATGGTTGTGCTTTATCAACACATCAAAACCTAGGTCTAGGGAACCAGAAGATTTAGATTGCTAGAAGCCAGGGAAAATTCAGGACATAATTTAAAGGAAGTTTAAGTAAGGCACAGAGAAAAAGTACAAAGCAAGTCTCACCTTCTGGTTTGAGACTGAGAGTGCAGAAGAAGCAGGACAAGCAGACAAAAGCCTTTGGTTACCATTCACCCTTGGAGGTGAACTCCACGGAACAGGCTGCTACTATACAGATCCAGCAAGGTGTAGCTCAGCCTGAGAACCCTGGAGCCGGGGACCACATCCTTCCACATAACTCAGCAGAGGCTGAAAGGCTCCAGGAAAGACCCACATCCCACACAGTGGGGAGAGGGCCAGAGTCATGCTCCGGTAAACCTGGATGGGCTTTGCTGCACCTTGGAGAACCTGTTCAGGAGATCACACCCGGAGAGCCACAGATCCCTCCCTGAGCAGGACAGTGCAGAGCCAGCCCCCTCATAGTAGAGCGAAAGGACTGTGCAAGGAACCGAGCATAGAGACCCAGGAGTGCTGCTCTTCCTCATTGTGGAGAAATCCAGGAAACCCCTTCCTACCTACTCTATTTGGAAGATGTCATCACAGATAGGAGCAGTGGGCAGAAGAAGGGAATCAGATCGACATAACAAAGACCTGAAAGAAAATGGTTCAATGAGACTGTGATCAAATATGTAAGGATATGGTTAATTTAATTGGTAAGTTTGAAGTCACCATCTTCTGCTCAAACTCCAAGGAAGATGGGTATAGTGAGGAAGATTACCTGGGTAGAAAATGAGGTGCATTTTCTTTGCACATATAGTTACTAATGCTAAGCTCTAGCACATCTATACTACAAAAGAGGAATAAGGGGCTTTATTTCTTATTTCTTTTTTTGTGGTACTAGTGATTGAATCCAGAGAGTATTGAGCCCTTTTTATTTTGAGACAGTGCCTCACTGAGTTGTCCAGGCTGACCTAAAGCTTGAGATTCTTCTGTCTCAACCTCCTGAGTAGCTGAGATTACTCCACCACACGGGCAGAATTGTGTGTTATTAAATAGCTCTCCTTTTCCATAAAGGATTAGAGGCAGTTACAATGTTTGTATTAGAAAATGGCTACTTCAAGAAAGATCAAAAGACCCAAAAAGGCTTTATCACTTGACATGAAGAAGAGTCTGCCAAAGACACACTTACTAAATATATTTCAACGTAGAGAAAGTCTGAGAGTTTGGTAAGTTGTAGCTTCCCTACTCATGGAATGTCAATATTTTAGCAGAAGAAATCAGAGAAGCAGGAACTGTTTTGTTTATTCATTTACTTCCAGTATTTCCTACACCTTTAGGGATATGATGTATACTCAGTTAATATTTATTGAGTGAATAAATGAAAAGATAAACATTCTGCAAAGTATTGGAATGGTTAGCTCAAGGTACATTTGCTGCACTTTCAAGCCAGTAGTGGAGTCAGGGGAGTCCATTATGGAAGGGTCAGGTTCTGGTACCCCACTCCCACTCTGCAAGACCTGTCACAAATGGGGATGACATAAAGGACTGTTGTGCACACCAACCCTGTTTCCCTAGGGTATTGATGCTGGAGTTGTGTGTGTGTGTGAGCCCTAGATACAAAGGGATTGGTTCAGGAAAAGAGAAAAAACCCATGGCTTGGCCTCACGGAAAGGTTCTTAACCCCATAGGCCAGTGGACTGGGGGTGGGGAGATGCGGTGGTGGTTGGAGGCAATGTAGTCCTAATTAGACTACATGCACCCACAGATGACAGGGCTGAAAGGGGGCAGACATTAAGGTACTTTTTAATTTGTGTTCCATTAAAGTATATGATGAACTAAGAATTAAAAAAATAAACCCAGTAATGAATTGTGGATAGCACAGTTAAACTGAATTTTAACTATTTTTTTCCCTTTGGGTTTTGAGACAGGGTCTTGCTATGTAGTTCAAGCTGGCCCTGAGTTCACTTTGTAGCCCAGGTTGGCATCAAACTCGAAGTGATCCTCCTGCCTCAACCTCCCTTGTGCTGGGATTACAGAAGTGTGCCACCACAGTCCACAGTTAAACTGAATTATTAAGAGACTTAAAATAGCTGTTCATGAAATGTAAATATTTACAGTGAACTATTTATAATTAGTGAAACTGTTTTGGTTATTATTTATTTTTTGAATACCAGAAATCTGGAAACCTGAACTGTACCAAAGAGCCATCTGAGAAATTCTGGTGTAAATACTTGAGAATAAAAACCTCACAGAACTGGTAAAAGTTCCCTAAATGTGATACTCTTTGTGACCTGTCTGCATTTTACACATCGATCCCTGGGGCCTCTCTTGTGCAGCTCATCCTCATGCAAGCAGTGGTCTTCAGGGCTGCATCCTTCTTCAGGACTCGTCCTAGGTGTCACACCATCCTAGAAGCAGCCTGTGTCTCCCAGTCTGACTTTGGTGCCTCTTGCGAAGTTTGCATAGTGCCTGGCATGTTCTTTACCTCTCATTGCTCTTCCCCACTGGAGAGAAGATTCCTTTTAAGCAGGCACAAGAGGTCTCAAGCTCTCTCAGAGTTTATCACTCCCCCAGCACACAGATGCCCAGGAAGTTTCTGAGAGCTCCAGACTTAGCCATGCCCCTCCCCAGAGTGGTAAGAGCATTGTCAGGGGGTGGGGATGGTGCTACTCCACATGTTAAGTCTCACAGACTCTGCGGAAATTATGCCAACTGGTGGGGAGACCTAGTGCCATTTAGTTGCACATCAGGACTCCAGTGTCAGGAGTTCAGAGGCAGAATTGAACCAGACAGAAACTTACCATGGGATGAGAGGCACTGCGGGGAGGAAGGGGGAAGTGAAGTGTATCTTCGAAGTCCAGACGTTGTGGAGGAGCGTAGATCTGATGGGCTGGTGCAGGACCCTCCTGACCACAAGGCTGGGCTGAGTCACACGGCCCTGCTGGCCCACAGCCTTTTTGGCAAAACACCCTGTGGCTGACCCTGAGTTGGCCTTGTGTACTCCTGTGTGCCTGCTTTCTAAAAATAAAACCTTTCCCCAGCTGCTGAGGTGACTGGCCTTTTGCAAAGTAGTCTATCAAAAAAAAAAAAAAGTCAAGAAATAACCTGCCGTAAGAGTCAGACTGAGCCTTCAGAACACTGAAACTGGGAAGAGTAGCATTAGATTGCTCAGAAGACATTAATTCACGCTCTATTTTTATAGACTAAGTATGACTGTTTTGAGTTTCACTCAAGTGATGACCATCCATCTGAATGTCTGAGGGAGTTGGTGTACAGAGCCTGTACAGCTTACCTGGCACCATTTGGCACTGTCTCAGGACCAAGGTCATTGGCTGACAAAACCTGCACTGGAAACAGATATGTTACTCTAATTAATTCACCGGGGTAAGTAATTGCCTAACACTTACCTGATTAACTAACATTTTCACTTATCAGGGGCAGTAGTAAATGCCAGACTGGAACTGGTGGTCCTCCTCATTATACCCTAATGATAAATGCAGAGATATGGCACAGGTACCAAATAAAGGTGCGCAAGTCCCGGGGCACTTGGTGGGCATGGTGCAGAAGTTGCCAGTGGTTGTTGAGGAAGAGCAGAGGGAGAGCAGCTTGAGGCGAGTCACGAGGTAAAAGACATACTTATTATTATTATTATTATTTTTTGTTTTGTTTTTCTCCGGTACCGGGAACCAAACTCACGACCTTGCGCTTGCCAGGCAGACGCTTTGCCGTTGAGCTAAATCCCCAGCCCCCTACATACTTATTATTATAAATTGCAAACAGGAAGAATCACTGTCTCAAGTGGAAAAAGCTGATTTTGCCTCATACTTGTCATTACCTTTTCCAAAATAAGTTTCCTCAGGGACTTTTTGGTATTTTGAGCAAAAGTGAAAATGTCTCTTTTTAAAGCAATAATAACAAAATTCAGGCTACAATGACTTCCTAACGTAGACATCCCTATTCTCTTTCCTTCCCATTCTGAAAACTTTGCTGGCTCGCAAGATGACCGAAAGCGGCTGGCATGGAATCTGAGGAGCTTCCCAAGAATAACTATCACCAGGAAGTGGAACAGCTTATAACTGGAGACCCCAGCTAAGACACGGACATTTGGTTCCCGACTGCTATGTATATTCCTAAAGAGAAATCCATGCAGACAGTACAATGCCTGACATTTGCTTCTACTTGTCATTTATAAACATTTTTGGTTCTAATTTGCTTGGAAGCCATGACACTAATGCTCTGGAAACTCTCACCAGCATATAACTACAGCTGATTTTCATGGGAGCCAGAAAATAATGGATCAGGATAAAGATGCCTTTCAGTCCAAACCACGTCCCTCCCAAAGTGAAAGGTGAGAAGTGTCATCACAAGCAGCAAATTAATAGATTTTTTAAAGGACTATTTCCCAAATATATTAGGCTATAATTCATTATTCTACTTGGATTGACACCAAGACAGATGGTTTAGTGGATTTTGAAGGCAACCTAAAGTTTAACTAAATGAAGAGGCCCTGGGAAACAAGTGTGTTTAATTACTAGGCCTTTCTGTGTGAATGGGCAAAGTTCGGATGAAAAGGTATTTTGAGGTCCTGACTTTAGCTGTTTTTCTTACTTGTGATCACAAAGAATGAAAACAAGCTGGTGAGGGGTGGGATGGGAATAGGAACATGAAGTGTTTGGGAACTGCAAGTTCTCACATGTATTGGACACATTTTTTATATAATCTGCTGGATCAGCATGTGAATCAAAAGAGGACCTGTACCCGTATACAGCTGTCTCAAAGCAAGTAAGTCTGTGCACCTCATACGACCCACGCTGGGACCAATGTCACACATTAGGGAAAGGTGCTGTGGTCATCAGTTAACAAGCTAACCAACCTGCTCAAAGATACAGGGTGCCACACCTTCAAAAGGAGCCTATCTTCTTGGGAACATGGTGCTCTGAGAACTGGGCTGTAGTATAAAAGGCCATGTCAAGAGGTGGTTTTGAATGGAAAGGAAAGAGTTCCATTAACAGTTTCAGAAGAAAACATAACACCTTTTAGTGAAGGTGTCATTCTAACTTGAACCTGAATTATTATGATTAGATCTATAATTTAGTAGCAAATTTCAGTATTTTTTTTAACTGATATACATATAAAGTATGGCTTCTATTTTACCTGCTTCTAATAGATCCATGAGACCTGACAGGAATACATATGATGGGTGAGTAATTTTCATTTTTATTTTTTGATCAGATAGACATTCCTTGCATTGTATATTAAATGCTCAGATATTGCCCTTCTACCATTGTATACATTTCTTAACTTTAGACAGATGGAATAACACATATGGAATACAGCTTACAATGCAGATCAGGACAGAAACCATGCAGATTTTCTTCCCAATAGCATTAATCATTTCTTGGTTCTTCCTTGTGAGGGGCACAGGAAAGACTTGGTTCGTTTAAGAAAGTGGGGCAAAAGAAGGCACAAAAACATGCAAAAATTGAAGATGAACCTTGAATTGTTGTTGAGCCTTGAATTGACTGTGAAGTTTAGCTTTTAATTCCAGGGTGATGGGCTGCATCTGAGAACTAATTAAAGGACCTCCCAGTGCTAATGAGAGATTTCACTGTGTCGCAGCATATTACGAAGTGATTTCATATGCTTTGTGATGGACTTTGCACTGAATTCACTTCTAAAATACCATGGATGTTATTCATCTCAAGGGTAGACATAAATCTGCCCAAGCTGCCTGCAAATTCAGCTCCAATTTCTGCCCCAGGTTCATAGAACATAATAGAGCATTAATCTTCATGAGCCTTAAGGAAGTTTTGCAAGTTCCCTGTGCTTTGCGGAGAATTGTGTGAAATGTCCTGTCATCATGTCAGCATTTCAGAATATGTTCCATTTGCCCACACCAGACAGAGCTCCTCCCACTCCCATCATTTCTTTGGGGAAGTCAAGGAGAGAGAGAAAGAAAAAAGTATGAAGATGAAAGTAATGGAAAATGGAACAATTTCTTCCCAGTGAGCATTTATTTTTGGTGACCAATATTTAATACTGACTGTAAAGTATAACTTGTGGTTTGCCAAAAAACCTTATCCCATGTGTTAGGAAAAAGAAAGAAAATGCAAAGGAAGTTTGGTGATGAAATAGTATATGCAAGTTTATTTAGTAAAAATTATATGTTTTAGAAAGGTCAAAGTACTGTAACAGCCAGATTCATGGGAGGTTGACTTTAGGATGAATTCCCAAACCAGCCTTTCCTTTTTTAATTAAAATTTTTGTTTAGTTTTAATTAATAAATAATAAATGTGCATATTTATTGGGTACAATATGAGGTTTTGATCTATATATGTTCCAGAAAATGTCAGTCAAACCAATTAAAATGTCCATCATCTCTTCAACTTTTCTTTTGTACTGAAAACGTTAAAAATCTATTTTTAAAGGAATTTTGAAGTATAAATTACTATTTTTTCTTTTTCTTTTTTCTTTTAAAGAGAAAAAAATTCAAAACAAGATAATGGGAGAGTAACAATGGTTAATACATTGTTAACTATTGTATGATCTTTAAATTAGTTACTCAGAGTACAAGATATCTGCATTTAATTGTCCAAACAATATTAGCATAAACCTTTCTTTTCAATGAACTAAGAGAAATTAGTGGCATAACTGTCAATTAGTGGTATAACTACATATATATATATTTTGTTTATTTCATTTTTTTCCCCTTCCTTCTTTTCTCCATTCCCCCATCTGTTTCTCTGCATTTTTGAAGTTTCTTCTCATTTTACAATATCTATTGTACATTTTGGATCTTAGTTACTCTTTCAGCTACTCACACTAGGGAGACGATACAATGTTTGCACATGTGCATCTGGTTTATTTCACTTATTAGTATGATCTCTAGATGCATCCATTTACCTATAAAAGTCTCCAGTTTATCATTCTCAGTGGCTGAGTAGTACTCCATTGAACAAAAAGACTACATCTTTTTTATTCATTCTTCAGTGGGTGGGCATTTGGGTTGTTTGCAAGATCTAGCAAATTGTGCTGTTATAAACATGAGTGTACATATATCATTGTGGTACAGTGTTTTTAATTATTCTGGGACGATACCCAGAAGGGAAATAGCTGGGTCAAATGGGACCCCCAATCCCAGTTTTTTTTGAGTAACATCCACACTGATTTCCACAGTGGTTGCACTAGTCTACACTCCCACCAACAGTGGAGAAGGGTTCCTTTTTCTCCACAGCCCCTCCAGCATTTGTTATTGGTTGGTTTCTTGATAATAACCATTCTTCCTGGGGTGAGATGGAATTTCAGTGTTGTTTCAATTTGCATCTCTCAAATGATCAATGATGTTGAACATTTTTTCATATATTTATTTGCTGTTTGCATTTCTTCACCTGAGAAGTGTGTAGTCATCTCAAATGCCCGTTTTGGATAGGGTCTTTGAATTTGGGAGGTCAGATTTTTTTGAGCTCTTTATATGTTCTCGATAGTAATCCTTCATCTGAGGAATAGCTGGCAAACATTTTCTTCCCCACATTGCGGATTGTCTCTTTACTCTGATGGTGGTTTCTCTTGCTGTGCAAAAAGCTTTTTAATAAGATGAGATCCCAGTTGTTGATTTTTTGTGATAGTTCCTGTGCAATCCGGGTTTTATTCATGAAGTCTTTGCCTACACCAATGTTTTCAAGGGTTTTATCTATTCTATCTTCCAACAGATTGAATATTCCTGTTTTAATATTTAGATTTTAATCCATTTCAAATTTAGTTTAGTGCATCGTGAAAGATATATGTCCAATTTTAATTTTTAGCATGTGCAGAGCCCGTTTTCCAGCACCATTTATTAAAGAGGCTATCTTTCTTCCAGTGAATGTGTTTGGCACTTTTGTCAAAGATAAGGTGGCTGAGTATGTCTGGAGTTGTTTCTGCATCTTCTAGTGTGTTCCATTGATCTTCAGTTCTGTTTTTTTTGCTAGTATAATACTGTTTTATCATGATAGCTTTATAGTACAATTTCAAGTCAGGGATTGTGATGCCCCTGGCCTTATCCTTGTTGCCCAGAATGGCCTTTGCTACTCCAGGTCTCTTCTGGTTCCAAATGAATTGTGGGACTGTTTTCTCCAATTCTATGAGATATGCTGTTGGAATTTTTATTGGACTTACATTCAATCTGTGTAACAGTTTTGAAAGTATAACCATTTTCACTATACTGGTTTTCCTACCCAAGAGCAAAGGATATCTTTCCATTTTCTGATGTCCTCTTCAATCTCCATTTTCAGAGTACTGTAGTTTTTAAGGTAGAGGTCTTTTACATCCTTCAATAGATTGATTCCTAGATATTTCATTTTGGTGGATGCTGTAGTAAGGAGTGCTGTTTCCCTAATTTTTCTCTCAGTGAGTTTGTTATTTGTTTACAGGAAGGCTATTGATTTTTGAGTGCTGACTTTGTGTCCACCTATGCTACTGAATTTGTTTGTTAGGTCTAGCAGTTTCTTAGTGGAGTTTTTGGTCTTATATGTAGAGTATTATGTCATCTGCAAATAGTTATAATTTAATTTCTTCCTTTCCTATAATTATTACTTTTATTTCTTTCTCTTGTCTAATTGCTCTAGCTAAAGTTTCCAGGACTAGGGCTGGGGATTTAGCTCAGCGGCAAAAGC